TGAGAGTTGGACTATAAAGAAAGCTGAGTGCTGAAGAATTGATGCTTTTGAACTGTGTTGTTGGAGAAGACTCTTGAGAGTCCCTTGGACTGCAAGGAGATCCAACTAGTTCATCCCAAAGGAGATCAGTCCTAGGTGTTCATTGGAAGGACTGATGCTGAAGCTGAAACTCCAATACTCTGGCCACCTGATGTGAAGAGCTGACTCATTTGAAAAGATCCTGATGCTGGGAAAGATTGAAGGCAGGAGGAGAAGGGGACAACAGATGTGGTATAATATGATTTTATTAGTGGAATAGACAGAAATTTCTCTCATACCTCCTTGGTGCTACTGAGTTCTTGAAAAACTATTATGAAACTTATATTGGAGTGAGTTGTTAGAGTTTTGAAATGTTAGGCAATTCCATGGGTCAGTGATCCATGACTAGTGGAAAAGGATAATTCAGAAACATCATCAGTCTAGTATGAAAGATTCCAGAAGATTTAAAAAAAAATCATTAGTATACTGAGATGAAATCAACTCCAAACAAAACAACTGCAGAAATAAAGTACGTATTTTCTTTTATCATGCTGTAAAATATGTCTGTAAGTATACATAAGAATGAATACTAAACATCACTTAATATTAAGAGGTTAAAAAACATTAAGACTATTACATGGGACAGGCATGGGAAAGGTAATTCACAGTATACATTTTATCCATATTTTTTGAATTATGTATTATCTATTTTAAAAGCTTAAATTAAAAAAACTTAAATAAATCTACTTTAAATAAAATGGAACCATAAGTCAAGTTTATTAAATTCTCGACTCATTGGAAAAGACCCTGATGCTGGGAAAGATTGAGAACAGGAGGAGAAGGGGAGAACAAAGGATGAGATGGTTGGATGGGGAAGGAAGTAGATTCCATGTAACACAACTAAGAATTTGCATGCCATAACTAAGGCTCCTGCATGCTGCAACAAAGATTGAAGACCCTGCATGCTGCAACTAAGTCCCAGTGTAGCCAAATAAATAGATCAATGTTTGAAAAAAAAAAAAGTGGGCATTGTCAATGTACTGCTGCTGCTGTTGCTAAGTTGATTCAGTCGTGTACAACTCTGTGCGACCCCATAGAGGGCAGCCCAGCAGGCTCCCCCGTCCCTGGGATTCTCCAGGCAAGAACACTGGAGTGGGTTTCCATTTCCTTCTCCAATGCGTGAAAGAAAAAGTGAAACTGAAGTCGCTCAGTCGTGTCCAACTCTTAGCAATCGCACGGACTGCAGCTTACCAGGCTCCTCCATCCATGGGATTTTCCAGGCGAGAGTACTGGAGTGGGTTGCCATTGGTACAGAAGTCTTTAAAAGCATTATATGACTTACAGGCTATGTGATATACACTCATGGGTGATGGAAGGTTCTTTTTAAATTGTTTTTGCTTATCTAACTGTGGGTTCTTAGTAGCAGCATGTGGGATCTTTTTAATTGAGGCTTGCTGGTTCTAGTTTCCTGACCAGGGATGGAACCCACGCCACCTGCATTGGCAGCCTGGAAGTCTTAACCACTGGACCATTGCAGAAGTCCCTGGAAGGTTCTTAAGATTGGGGAAGTCATCCCTGGGGGCTCAGTGGTAATGAATCTACCTGTTAATGCAGGAGATACAGATTTGATCCCTGATCCAGGAGGATCCCACATGCCACGGAGCCAAAAAGCCCATGGGCCACAACTACTGAGCCTGTGCTCTAGAGCCCTAAAGCTGCAACTACTAAAGTTTGTGCACCCTAGAGCCTGTGCTCCGCAGCTAGAGAAGCCACCCCAATGAGAAGCCAGCACACCACAACTGGAGAGTAGCCTGAGCAGCAGTGAAAACCCAGGACAGTCATAAACAAATAAATAAATAAACAAAATTATTTTTAAAAAAGATTGGGGGATTTCCCTGGTGGTACACTGGATAAGAACCTGCCAACGCAGGGGACACGGGCTCAATCCGAAGTCCAGGAAGATTCCGCATGCCGCGGAACAACTATGCCCATGTGCCACAATTACTGAAGCCCAGGCACCTAGAGCCCCGTGCTCTGCAACAAGAAAAGCCACCAAATGAGAAGCCTGAGCACCAGAAGGAAGGGCAGCCCCTGCCTGCTGAAACTAGAGAAAGTCCGAGCACAGCAACGAAAACCCGGTGCAGCCACAAATAAAAATGAGAAAATAAATTATTAAAAAAAGATTGGGAAAGTCAAAAGGAATGGGGCAGTGAGAATATAACCCAGTCATGGGTATATCACATCAATGTTGCTGACAATGGCGATAGCAAATGCAAAGGCCCTAAGGTGCGCTTTATTGGTGGATGTTTTCCAGACGTAGCCTAAGTGAGGACTCCACCACACTGCGAAACCCGAAGCATTAACCCAAGGCTTCTGGATCAGCGTCTTGCTGAGGTGAGTCCAGTGTAGGCCAGTGGTCCTGAAAGGAAGGCTTCTAGGGCAAACGCGCCCTCTGCTGGCAAGAATAGATATCAGCTCCATTTCCAATCCTGAGATTAATAAAATATATATGAGAGTTGGATAGGACTGAGCCACAAACACTTATTGGACTTCCCTGGCTCAGCCAGTAAACAATCTGCTTGCAACGCAGGAGACCCAGGTTTGATTCCTGGGTTGGGCAGATTCACTGGAAAAAGGAATGGCTACCCACTCCAGTATTCTTGCCTGGAGAATTCCATGGACAGAGGAACCTAGTGGGCCACAGTCCACGGGAGATCGCAGAATTGGACGGCACTGAACGACTAACACCTTCACTTTCACATTGCTGTTATTATTAGTGAAACACAGCCAGTGCTTAATAAATTCGTGACCCATCCTCTCTCACCCCTGTGCGACATGGAGGCTGGCACTAGTAGGAATGTATCTATAGATATAAGCTGAATGAATGGTCGAACAGTCTCCCCTTCTGTAAATCTGTCGTTCTTTCATTGCATAAACTGATGCTTATTGAGTATGTACTATTTGCTATGTCCTGTTCTAAGCCCTTGGAGCAAGGCAATAATCAAGATAGATAAAACAGAGAATCCCGTGGTTGTCCAGTGGTTAGGACTCTGCCCAGGATTGAGTCCTGGTTGGGGAACTAGGATCCCGCAAACTGTGAGGCGCGACCAGAAAAAGACAAAAGACTACGTAAGGCACGGTGTAAAAATCTATATACTTAGATCTTGTCATTCAACATTCAAGACATCCTTATGTCTAGGTAATAGAATTCGTGCCATTTGATGAAGGATACAATCAGACCGTAGAGAGGCTCTGACCGCGAGGAAGTGGCAGGAATGGGCCTCCAAACCAAGAAAATTTTAGCACTTTGCGGCAGTGCGCTGCCTGTAGGAACAAACTGAGTATCCAGCGGAGAGATGCGGGACGGCGTCCGTTTCCATGGTTCATCTGACGCCGGTCCCCAAGCTTCCGCCCTCATCGCGCGCCACGTGACCTCAGCCAACATGGCGCCGCCCAGGATGTTCCACTGCTCACGTGGTTAAGGCAGGCAAGATGGCGGCAGCCGCCAGCCAGACTTCCCTGGAGTCGGCCCCGCGGATCATGCGATTGGTGGCCGAGTGTAGCCGCTCCAGGGCCCGAGCCGGGGAGCTGCGGCTGCCACACGGACCGGTGGCTACTCCAGTGTTCATGCCAGTGGGCACGCAGGCCACTATGAAGGGCATCACGGCCGAGCAACTGGACGCGCTGGGCTGCCGCATCTGCCTGGGCAACACCTACCATCTGGGTCTGAGGCCGGTGGGTGGGCTACGCCCCAGCGGGGCGGCGGCGGCAGAGCGTGGAGGAGTCCAGGAGATTCCCTAGACCTGAGCACGCCTCCCAAAGTCTATCGACAAACGCGTATCGAGGGTCCCGGGTGGCCCAGGCCTTGTGCTGGGCGTGAGGGACCAGCGAGGATGGAAGCTGGCCAACCTTGTCGCCCCTAACATTTGAACCCAGGGTTGCACTCACCCCTAATCTGACCCTTTCTTCCGCCAAACCAGGGCCCAGAGCTGATCCAGAAGGCCCAAGGTCTCCACGGCTTTATGAATTGGCCCCACAATCTGCTGACGGTAAGGTGGGGTCGAGGGTGGGGTTCGACGGCATTCCTTGAGGGTAGATATTCCCCATCCAGTACCTGACAGCCCTGCGGTGGGATCTCCCTCAGGACAGTGGCGGCTTCCAGATGGTGTCCCTGGTGTCCCTGTCCGAAGTGACGGAGGAGGGCGTCCGCTTCCGTTCCCCTTATGACGGTGATGAGACCCTTCTGAGCCCAGAGAGGTCCGTGGAGATCCAGAACGCGCTAGGTGAGTGGATCCTGGGGAGTCTCTCCTTCCCCTGGTGGAGGTGAAATGGGCCTGCTCCTTTGGTGATGCTGGCTTTGGGCAAGGTCCTCACCCTCAGTTTAATCATCCTGAATGGGGATCGTTTACAAAGATAGTGATGTAATTTCGGTAAATCTCTTATCACAGTGCCTGACTTATAGCAGCTTTTAGTGTTATCTTTATTGTTACTGGAAAAACCATAGATTTGACTATGTGGGCCTTTGTCGGTTGTTTCTCTCAGATAGTAAATTAGCTGGGCAAAGATATGTTGAAATAATGGGGGTGACAAGGAGGGTATCTGGGAGGCTTTAGACCCCTTCCATTGCCATCAATAACCTACATTTTTTGATATAGACAATTAGCATTTCTCAATCTAAAGTGCTATGAAAACAGGTTCAAAACATTCCATCTTCCAAGCAGATTGATGCTTTTAGACCCCCTCTATCCAGATATTCGTGGTTTCTGCTCATAGCTATGGGCCTGGGTTCTGGTACCATACTATCTATGGAACTTGCAGTCCAAAAAGGAGACAAGGAATGATGAAAATGTCTTTTTTTTTTTTTTAATGCCTTAATTAGACAGAGGGTCTTTCAATCTTTGTTTGGGCATATGCAATCTTTTTTTTTTTTTTTCAGTTGTGACATCCGTAATATTTAGTTATGGCCAGTGAACTCTTAGTTGCAGCATGTGGGATCTAGTTCCCTGATCAGGGATGAAATTCTGGCCCCCTGTATTAGGAGCATGGTGTCCTAGCCACTGGGCCACCAAGGGAAGTCCCTCTTTCTTCATTTATTAGCCAGATTATTTCTTTAAAGAGAAAAGTTTCTCACCTACTCCTGGGAGACCAAGTATGAATAATTTCAGTCATGTAGGAAGAGTAGGATTCATTCTTTTCCCACTTACTAGTTTTCATGGGTTGATTACTTAGCATCCTCTATTGATGACAAACTAATGTTTGGTTTTTAAGAATTGCCCTGAACTCATGGGTTTAAATGTATTTGATACATCTCACTGCACTGCAGTTAAAATCCTTGTTGCTTCTCTCATCTCCCCATCTTTGGCTAGCATGGTTCACCGTGCTTTTTTCCTGTAGTGACACATTGTAGCAGTATTTCTTTGAGCTTTTCTGATCTATAAATCCACAGTTTCTAATCTGAAATTCTTGGGGCCAGATAGGTATCAGAATTCCTACATTTTAGAGAGATAATAGAGGGTATATACCATTCATTACATAGTACCTCAGTGAGGCCTCGGGCAGTACCCTGTGGTATTACACTTCATTTTTTTTTTCTAATTAAAAAATTGTAATAAAATGCACATAACATAAATTTACCATCTTAACCCTTCAGTGTCCAGTTCATTGGTGTTAAGTACATTCACCTTGTTGTGTAACCATCCCCACCATCCATCTTCAGAACTTTTTCATCTTCCCACAGTGAAACTCTTGTCCCCATGGAATACTCACTCCCCATTCTCCTTCCTTCAGTCCCTGGTACTTACCATTCCACTATATGAATTTGATTCCTCTCGGAACCTTGTATAAATGGAAATATACAGTATTTGTCTTTTTGTGATTGGCTTATTTCACTTGGCATGATGTCTTCAAGGTTCATCCATGTTACATCGTGTGGCAGAATTTCCCTTTTAGGGCTCCGTAATATTCCATGGGAGTGTCTCTGTGCCATTTTGTTCATCTGTTCAACTGTTGATGGATACTTGGGTTGCTTTCAGCTTTTAACTCTGGTGAATTTTGCTATTGTAAACCTGGCTGTGCAAATATTTCTGGGACCCTGCTTTCAGTCCTTTTGGGTATATATCCAGGAGTGGAATTGCTGGATCATATGGTATATACACTTTACATTTATTGCATTAACGCTTACGAATCTTCATGGTAAATTAGGTTGTTTAATAGATAACAACTAAAAAAAAAATGATAACTGTGTCAAGTTTTTCTACCACATGGGTATCCCATTAGCACAAGAAAAATCCTTTCATTTTTGAGAAGTTTCTGGATTTTGGAATTGTGGGAAAGAACCTTAATTTGACCCCTATTGAAGGACGCTTAGACTCCCGACACACTAGGAGGAATTACTTGGTACATACATCGTTTTATTCTTTTTGTTTTTCTGTAATTTATTTTCTTTATTTTTGGCTATGTTGGGTCTTCGTTGCTGCAAAGGCTTTTCTCTAGTTATTGGCAGCAGAGGGTCCTCCCTAATTGCGGTTCGCTAGCTTCTCATTGCAGTGGCTGCTTTTGTTGCGGACAGTGGCCTCCAGAGTGCAGGCTTCAGTAGTTGCAGCACATGGGCTCAGCAGTTGCGACTTTCTGGCTCTGAAAGCCAGAAGCACAGGCTCAGTAGTTGTGGTACATGGGCTTAGTTGCTCCCCAGCATGTAGAATCTTCCCGGACCAGGGATCGGACTTCTATCTCCTGCATTGGCAGGCGGATTCTTTACCACTGAGCCACCCGGGAAGCTTCTTGTTTTGTTCTTAAAGGATAAATTTGCAGAGGTGGGAATTTTTTTTTTGCTTTCTGCTTTTGGCCACACCATGGGGCTTGTGAGATCTAAATTCCCTGACCAGGAATCAAACCTGAGGCCACGGCAGTGAAAGCACTGAGTTCTAACCCTGGACCACCAGGGAATTCCCCAGTTGGGATTTTATTCTGTATCCAGGGCAGGGTTTTAGTTGACAGGTGGCAAAATAAGATGTGGATTTTGTTTTTAAAATTTTATTTATTTGGCTGCGTTGAGTCTTAGTTTTAGCAGGCACAATCTTTGTTGCATCATGCGGGACTTTTCGTTGTGGTTCACTAAATCTCTAGTTGTGGAGCATGGGCTTAGTTGCCCCAAGGCATATAGGATCTTAGTTCCCTGACCAGGGATCAAACCCTCATTCCCTGCTTTGCAAGGCTGATTCTTAACCACTGGACCACCAGGGAAGTTCCCAGGTGTGCATTTATTTTTTTAACATTTTTGTTTATTTTATTTTTGGCTGCACTGGGTCTTCATCGCCGGGCAGGTTTTTCATGAGTGAGCTGGCTTTTCACTGCAGTGGCTTCGCTTGTTGTGGAGCACGGGCTCTGGGGTTCTTAGGCTCCAGGGCAAGGGCTCAGCCTTTGTGACACATGGGCTTACTTGTTCCGTGGCATGTGTGGTCTTCCCGGACCAGGGATTGAACCCATGTCTCCTGCATTGGCTTGGCAGGCAGATTCTTCACCACTGAGCCATCAAGGAAGCACCCCCCGTACCCGCTGCCCCAGATGTGCATTTCTTTGCTGCTGTATAAACAGATTGGGGTGGTTAAGTGGGAGTCAGCAAGACCTGGAGAGGGACTTGTGGGGTCCTGCTCGTCCTCAGCATGGGGGCTTTCCCAGTAACTGTGGTCCTATCTCTCCAGGCTCGGACATCATTATGCAGCTGGATGATGTGGTCAGCAGTACTGTGACGGGGCCCCGTGTGGAAGAGGCCATGTACAGGTATGTGTGTGTACAGGGGTGTGTGTGTGTGTGTGTGTGTGGAGGGGGAGGGCCTCCTGGTCCTGCAGCCTATTCTCCCTGCCCCTCACCAGGTCTCTAGGTTTCACAACCAGGGTCCTCTTACAGATCAATCCGCTGGCTGGACCGGTGCATAGCAGCCCATCGGCGGCCGGACAAGCAGAACCTCTTTGCCATCATCCAGGGGGGGCTGGATGCGGATCTCCGAGCCACTTGCCTTGAAGGTAAAGCCATGTGCCAACAGGACCAGGGCTTTCCTATCACAGAGAGCCCCACACGGGCCTGGCATGCTTAGAGAGTGTTGTTTTTGTTTTCGTTTTAATTTTGATTGCACCCCGGGACTTGTGGGATCTTAGTTCCCTGACCAGGGGTCGAACCCTGGCCGTTGGCAGTGAGCTCAGAGTCCTAGCCATTGGACTGCCAGGAAATTCCCGAGAGTGGTTGTTACTAGGCGAAAGAGCATTCTAGGTGCAAGGAATGGCTGAAGCAAAGGCCTGAACATCATGGAATAGAGAGTGTTAGGAGAATAATAATCATTTCAATAGCTATCAATCTCCCAGGTGGCACAGTGGTAAAGAACTCACCTGCTAATGCAGGAGACATGAGAGACACAGATTCAATCCCTGCGTTGGGAGGAACCCCTGGAGGAGTCCATGGCAACCCACTCCAGTATTCTTTCCTGGAAAATCCCATGGACAGAGAAGCCTGGTGGGCTACAGTCCATAGGGTCGCATGGATTCAGACACGACTGAAGCGACTTAGCACACAGAAGACATCAGTTTCCAGGTGTTCACCAGGCGTTCTGCCAAATGCTCTTCATGGATTGTCCGGTGGAGTTTTCATAAAGATCCTGTAATGTGGGAACTTGCAGATTCCCAAGGTTACAGAAGGAGAGACTGAGGCACAGAGCTGTTAAGTTCCCGTACTCAGTCACACAGCTTGGACGTTTCAGAGCTGGGGTTTGTGCCCAGACTTGGGGCTCTGCAACCTACAGCATTAACTCATACATTGTGCTGCTCTGGCCCTGGGGAGTAGGTCAGGAGCAAAGGGTTGGCCCGAGGCATTGTGCTGACAGTAGGGGGCCTGGGACACCACACTGAGGTGCTGGGGAGCCGTGGAGGGCTGTTGAGTGGGAGAAAAACCCCAGTGGGGTGGGAAGCATAAGGTCCAAGAGGAAGCTGGAGTAGTTGCCAGGGGGGCAGGGTGGGCGACAGAGGGCTTGAACCAAGGCTGTGGCCACGGAGACGAAAGGGAGGCAGAGATGGGGGCCAAAGGCAGTGAGGTGTCATAGGCAGGACTCGGCATTCTGGAGTCAACGGAACTGGATCCAGCCCCTTGATGTGTTGCCTCATGGCTATGCACCCTTGGGCTAGTGGCTTGACCTCTCTGAGCCTCACTTTCTTCCTCTGTAAAAATGGAAACCCATTCCCAGTGGCAAGGGGTCAAAGTGAGAAATAAAGGGGGAATTTTGTTCAAGGTGTCCCGCCTGTACCTGGCATCATTGTGTACTCTTATGAAGATTGTATGTTTTTTTTTTTTTTTTAATTTAATTTTTTGGCTGCGCCGTGTGGTATGTGGGATCTTAGTTCCCCAACCAGGGATCAAACCTGTGCTCCCTGCAGAGGAAGCACAGAGTCTTAACTACTGGACCTCCAGGGAAGTCCCAGTTTGCCCACCTCTCATATCTAAAACCTGCAGGGATTTGCAATTCATTTGGTGGCAAGACCAGACCTCTTGATCCCAGTTATTAGGAGTCTGTACACATTTTGCTGTCCAAACATTACAGCATTCGATGATAGGCAACTGCCTGTTATTCCTCATGTAGGATGTGCACTGTTGTAAAATCTGGAAAATTCTGAAACATATCTGGCTTCATCTTGGGTTTTGGCTGAGGCAGCGTGGGCCCTGGGCCTCTCCTGAGGACTGAAGGAGAGACTGAGATGTCGCAGGCATTCTATAGACAATAGCTGACATCACCAGCAGCCCCAGGACACACAGACACATACACACCCACCCACTCTTTCCTGGGGGTGAAGAGGAGGAGGCTGAGGTCTGATCACCCCTCCTTCTTTCTGCCTGATCACCCCTGCCCTTGCTCCTCCACCTCCAGAAATGACCAAGCGAGATGTGCCAGGCTTCGCCATCGGGGGCCTGAGCGGGGGTGAGAGCAAGGGCGAGTTCTGGAGGATGGTGGCGCTGAGCACATCGCGGCTGCCTAAGGACAAGCCCCGCTACCTGATGGGCGTGGGGTACGTGGAGGAGAGGGGAGATGCCGCCCCCCCCCCACCCGCCTGTGGGGAGTGGATTCCTGGGAACCCTTGCCCCAGGGTGTCGGGGACCTGGGAAGGACACAGCCCTGTCTGGGAGGGATCTTAGCCCTCTGCTGGGGGTGAGGGTGCCCATGTTGGGAGGGGGGCCCTGGCTGTGTGATCAGGGCTTGAGGNAACTATCCCTGTCTCCACTGAGCGCCCCCTGCCGGCCACCTCCTGTCCGCAGGCACAGCCGGGCCTTCCTGCACTCCCTGCTCCATAGCGACAACACCGCGGCCCTGCATCACCTCACTGTTCACAACATCGCCTATCAGGTGGGCCTGTGGCTGGGAGGAGCAAGGCCAGGGGTCGGGACGGGGGAGTCTCCCAGTGGGCTGGTGGCTGGTGGCTGACCTGCCTCCCGCCTTGCTCCCACCCTGCAGCTGCGGCTGATGAGCGCCGTGCGAGCCAGCATTGTGGAGAAACGCTTTCCGGACTTCGTGAGGGACTTCATGAGCACCATGTATGGGGACCCCACCCTCTGTCCCACCTGGGCCACTGAAGCCCTGGCCTCTGTGGGGATCACACTGGGTTGACCCTGCTTGGGGGGAGGGAGGGGAAAGGAGGGGATGGAATATATTGAAGGACTTTTCCTTTTTTTTTTTTTTAAATTATAACATAGAATATGTCTGTGTCTTCTTGGGGAAGTGGCCTCTCTAGGTCCCCTTTCTGGTCTGAGTGTCACTGGGGCCCGTCAACTAAAAAAAAAGATGCAAAAGGTGAGAGTTGCGAGTTAACCTTTGTTTGGGTCAAAATGAGGACTGCAGCCCAGGAGACAGGACCTCAGATAGCGCTGAGAGGCTGCTCCGAAGAGGCAGCGTAGGGGGAAGTCAGTATGTATGATTTTGGTGAAGGAGGAGTTCAAGGTATTCAGGCACTGATTTTACGAAAGGTTTTCTGCAAGTAATGAGGAGCTGATGGCACCATGAAGGGATTTAGTGCTTTTCCAGATCTGAAGAGATGCAAGGATTGGGATCATGAAATCAGTTCCTGAAAATATCTGACTAGCCAAAGACCTGTTCCGTGTTTCCCTGGAGCACAGAGTGCCTCATTCTCCAACCTGAAGGGAGTTCAGGGCAGGTCAAAGGTCAGCAGCTGCAACAGCGCAGGATCCAGTCTCCACGGAGGCAGACGGCAGATGTCCTTGGCAAGTGACAGTTACAGGCTCCGTCATGGTAATAGATTCGACCATACTTGGGGAGGCATTTCATGACCATTTCGTCCCACGCTACTAGGAATGCTCTCTGGAGAAGAATTTATTGATAAGCCACTCAGTGTGCTATTACTGGACTAGGTCCTAATAATCAAAGATCTCTGTACAGCTGTCTTCTAGTTATGGTCCAGGAAAATATTCCTTCTTACTGCATCTTCCCATAACTAGAGTTACACTATTCTAATAGTTGATTATGTACAGAACTGTATGTTTCATCAACTGCTGCAAGTCATCTAGTCGTCATCATTTTCATTGGAGGCTCAGTTACACATTTGATAATTGTAAGAAACAACAATTTTGTAAAACTGGCAGATACAAATAACAGAGCCGGCGGCATTGGGGTTCCTTGGTGGCTCAGTGGGTAAAGAATCCACCTGCAATGTGGGAAACCTGGGTTTGATCCCTGGGTTGGGAAGATCCCCTTCTGGAGGGCATGGCAAGCCACTCCAGTATTCTTGCTGGAGAATTCCATGGACAGAGGAGCCTGGCAGGCTGCAGTCCATGGGGTCCCAAAGAGTCACGACTGAGCTACTAAGCACAGCTAGCAGTATTACCAAAGTCATAAGAGAATTAAGGGCCTGACTTTCTGCACACCCTGAACTTCCGTTAGGTGCAGCCCAGTATATTCTTGGCCTTTCCCAGTGGCTCAGCGGGTAAAGAATACACCTGCAATGCAAGAGACAAAAGAGACCCAGGTTCGATCCCTGGGTCAGGAAGATCCCCTGGAGAAGGAAATGGCAAGCCACTCTAGTATTTTTGCCTGAAAAATCCCATGGACAGAAGAGTCTGGTGATTTATATCCATGGAGTCGCAGAGTCAGACACAACTGAGCAACGAAGCACAGTATATTGTTAGGTCATTTTACTTAGTCTGTTCTGTACCCATCTTTATTATTTCTAGGTAAATGACATATTTGCACCATCCTTAAGATTCTCAGCCCAAATTTCCTAGTGTTGCTAGGCTGGTTAGTCTAAATTTAAGCATTTAATTTACTTGTTCCTAAGATAAAGGGAGACCTTTAATACTTAAATGACCCCAGCCTGGTATTAATGATATAGATCCATCCCATTATGGGGGTTTTCCTGTAAAGATGAGATGTTACAGTTTTTGATTGAGACTCAGGTTTTCATTCTGATAGAGTTTTGAGTGTGCCTAAAAGAAAATTTAAATCTATGGCCAGAGCAAGTATTATTAATTGACTAGGTGAGAGGATCCCATCTAGTAGTAATACCATGAGTAGAAAGAACAGGATTGAACTCTTCTGAAATAAATTTCCTAAGGTCTATCTATTCAGAGGCTTGGAGGGGAGAAATCCACCAAGATAATCCAGAAATACCAGACACAGGTAACTAGCCACAAACCCAACAATTTGATTGATTTTTAAAACTAGCACAGAATCCTGTCCATGAGAAAAAACATTTGATTTATATGCAAAAGTCAAAGAAGTCAAGAAAACACTATAAATGATCATACAAATCAGGTCTACCATCTTGGGCAAGCTGTCTGCTTCTGATATTGTCTTCTCATCCTGGTGGAGTGGACCAACGGACCTTTTTATCCTCTGATAAAACGTCCTTCCACCCAGGTTGGAAACAGTCCCTTAAGTGATGTCTTTTTCCAGTCTTGTTGCAGGTTATGAGGCATTTGATCTTCATCCAAAGATTACTGAAATCAGCTTCAGAAACAAACTTAGAGTGTCCTTTAATAATTCAATTCTTTTACATTAATATAGCATAATAACACAGAACTATCCAGGAGATGAGTCTTAGTAGATACAGACCTCCAGTAACAAAACTAGGATTTAACATTCATTGAACCATCTTTTTCTCCCTAAAAATACCCTCATTTTTACCAAATATAACCAAATTAAGACCAGTTTGTGAAAAAAGTCTGATTTCAATAAACTTTTCCTGATGATTTATATAAACATAATTAATGATAGACTTTTTTGTTTTTTCCTTGCTGAAACTTATAAAATGAGTCTTGGGCTGAACTTTTTTTTTTTTTTTAGTCTTGGGCTGAACTTTTTAAAAAACTTCTCAGGGCTAGGAAAGTCAAGCCAAAGGCTTGTCACAGATTTCACCTAACAGGTTTAAGGGATTTCCTCCCTTCTCAAAGTCTCCAAAATTCCTTGAGATTTCTGTACCTGTTAGTGATGTAACCATTCTAACTTACCTGATAAAGCTAACTGGAAACCTAGGAGTTTCCAATCTCTGGAGGGGTCAGATAGAAAGGTAAATGTTTCAATTTTGCTTACAGAATTATAATTTTACCAAATTACTATAAGTCATAATTAGTTTGAGGGGGAGAGTTTCCTTACACCTGGAAAACATTCAAACCAGTCATTTTTCAGATAGAAACTATAAAAGTTACAAGCATATTCATGAGTTCATTCAGTCCTTTTGTTAATCTTTGTGAAGCCATCAGGTTTCCCATTAGAATCCTTTAATTTCTTACCCAGTTCAGCATTATAGTTTGAAAGTCAGAAACTTGTATTTATCCAAAAGTCCTTTCTGTAAATCAAAAGAGGATGCATTTTTGCAAAAAATATCAGAATAAAACCGTAACTGTCTATAATGGTGAAAGACTTAATAAGGCATGCTTAAAATCTAATTACAATGCAGTTGACAAAGAAACCTGGTTATGGCTGTGACCAGCACTTCAAGATAGTAACTAGAATCATGACTGATAACCTTCTACCAGGACATATCAGAATTTTACGTACTCCATATAATTTATAGGTTATCTATAATAATAGCATTTACCATACTACATAACCTGAGGAGATTGATTACTCAATTGATTACTTCCCATGCACTTCAACATACCAAATGAGCCTAATTAGAAGGTTGGAAACAGTCCCTTAAGTGATGTCTTTTTCCAGTCTTGTTGCAGGTTATGAGGCATTTGATCTTCATCCAAAGATTACTGAAATCAGCTTCAGAAACAAACTTAGAGTGTCCTTTAATAATTCAATTCTTTTACATTAATATAGCATAATAACACAGAACTATCCAGGAGATGAGTCTTAGTAGATACAGACCTCCAGTAACAAAACTAGGATTTAACATTCATTGAACCATCTTTTTCTCCCTAAAAATACCCTCATTTTTACCAAATATAACCAAATTAAGACCAGTTTGTGAAAAAAGTCTGATTTCAATAAACTTTTCCTGATGATTTATATAAACATAATTAATGATAGACTTTTTTGTTTTTTCCTTGCTGAAACTTATAAAATGAGTCTTGGGCTGAACTTTTTTTTTTTTTTTAGTCTTGGGCTGAACTTTTTAAAAAACTTCTCAGGGCTAGGAAAGTCAAGCCAAAGGCTTGTCACAGATTTCACCTAACAGGTTTAAGGGATTTCCTCCCTTCTCAAAGTCTCCAAAATTCCTTGAGATTTCTGTACCTGTTAGTGATGTAACCATTCTAACTTACCTGATAAAGCTAACTGGAAACCTAGGAGTTTCCAATCTCTGGAGGGGTCAGATAGAAAGGTAAATGTTTCAATTTTGCTTACAGAATTATAATTTTACCAAATTACTATAAGTCATAATTAGTTTGAGGGGGAGAGTTTCCTTACACCTGGAAAACATTCAAACCAGTCATTTTTCAGATAGAAACTATAAAAGTTACAAGCATATTCATGAGTTCATTCAGTCCTTTTGTTAATCTTTGTGAAGCCATCAGGTTTCCCATTAGAATCCTTTAATTTCTTACCCAGTTCAGCATTATAGTTTGAAAGTCAGAAACTTGTATTTATCCAAAAGTCCTTTCTGTAAATCAAAAGAGGATGCATTTTTGCAAAAAATATCAGAATAAAACCGTAACTGTCTATAATGGTGAAAGACTTAATAAGGCATGCTTAAAATCTAATTACAATGCAGTTGACAAAGAAACCTTGTTATGGCTGTGACCAGCACTTCAAGATAGTAACTAGAATCATGACTGATAACCTTCTACCAGGACATATCAGAATTTTACGTACTCCATATAATTTATAGGTTATCTATAATAATAGCATTTACCATACTACATAACCTGAGGAGATTGATTACTCAATTGATTACTTCCCATGCACTTCAACATACCAAATGAGCCTAATTAGTTTAATATCTCCCTTTGGAATGTTTCAGGGGGCCCTCTGAAGCATGCCAAAGTTACCTAGAAATTAAAATAATTTTAATTAAAATTTGATACTTGGGAAGCTAGTCAAAAAGTTTTAAAACACTTGGTTAAATGTCACCATGAGACAATACTTATTCCTTAACCAGAGTAACCATAGATCTCGAAAGCAAATAAAAATCACTTGAAGGCAAAGAAATTCATAAACTCTGTTATCAAAAATGTCACTTCAAGAAAACTTTTCTCTGAACAGAAAGAAAAATCCAAATCTTTAGTATACTCCCAATAAGAGTCATTTACCCAACTAAATTCAATCTAGTCTTAGGAAATCCTGATCATGCATAACTTTTCAGTATTTTTTTATTCCTCACACCTTCATTTACTGAAAACAAGTATCTTAGTTTCCTTAAAGTTTTTTTCCACGTTGAGTTACTTTTCTTGTGGGCAAATTTGTAACAGGTAGAATAAGGTATTATTTGACCTCCAGTAAACCTAGGTACAATAGGAATATTATACTTAACACTGATAACTCTAGACATGTCTATATTAATCAAAGCAACAAACTTAAGCCATCTTCAGTAGTAAATATCAACTCAGTACTGGATTATTTCCCAGATCATGGATCCTAAAATTTATCTTGTTCAATTTTCTATAGATTTAATTACTAAGTACTTACTTTCAAGTCAGTTAAAATAGTTCATTTACAAGGGAACTTTTACATAAAGACAACCAAAAATCTTAAGTCTTTTCTTCTTGAATTCAAAAGGCTTTTCCCCTGCTCCCCACTTTTTTTTTTTTTTTCTTCTCTGAGGGCCTGGGCAAAGGGGAGAGAAATACCATTGCTTTTATTTATTTACTTTTGGTTCTGCTGGGTCTTCACTGCTGTGTGAGGGCTTCCTCTAGTTGCAGCAAGTAGGGGCTACTCTTCACTGCAGTACACTGGCTTCTTGTGTTGGCTTCTCTTGTGGAGCAGAGGGGTTTTCATTCCAATCCCAAAGAAAGGCAATGCCAAAGAATGTTCAAACTACTGTACAATTGCACTCATTTCACGTGCTAGCAAGGTAATGCTCAAAATCCTTCAAGCTAGTCTTCAGAAGTATATGATCTGAGATCTTTCAGTTGTATAAGCTGGATTCAGAAAAGGCAGAGGAACCAGAGATCAAATTGCAAACATCCATTCGATCATAGAAAAAGCAAGGGAATTCCAGAAAATCTACTTTTGCTTCATTGACTATGCTAAAGCCTTTGACTGTGTGGATCACAACCAACTGGAAAACTCTTAAAGAGATGGGAATACCAGGCCACCTTACTTGTCTCCTGAGAAACCTGTTTGCAGGTCAAGAAGCCACAGTTAGAACCAGACATGGAGCAGTGTGAAAGTGAAAAGTGAAGTTGCTCAGTCTTGTCCGACTCCCTGCGACCCCAGGGACTGTAGCCCCCCCAGGCTCCTTGGTCCATGGGATTTTCCAGGCATGAATACTGGAGTGGGTTGCCATTTCCCTCTCCAGGGGATCTTCCCAACCCAGGGATCGAATCCAGGTCTCCTGCATTATAGGCAGACGCTTTACCGTCTGAGCTACCAGGGAAGCCCAATGGACTGGTTCAAATTTGGGAAAGGAGTACATCAAGGCTGTATATTGTCACCCTGCTTATTTAACTTAGATGCAGAGTACATCATGAGAAATGCTGGCCTGGATGAAGCACGAGCTGGAATCAAGATTGCCAGGAGAAATAGCAACAACCTCAGATATACAAATGATACCACTCTAATGGCAGAAAGTGAGGAGGAACTAAAGAGCCTCTTGATGAGGGTAAAAGAGGAGAGTGAAAAAGCTGGCTTAAAATTCAACTTGCAAAAATCTAAGATCATGACATCCAGTCCCATCACTTCGTGGCAGATCCGTCAGTTCAGTTGCTTAGTCATGTCCAACTCTTTGGCAACCAATGGACTGCAGCACACCAGGCTTCCCTGTCCATCACCAATTCCCGGAGCTTGTTCAAACTCATGTCCATCAAGTCGGTGATGCCATTCAACCATCTCATCATCTGTCATTCCCTTCTCTTCCTGCCTTCAATCTTTCCCAGCATCAGGGTCTTTTCTAATGAGTCAGTTCTTTGTATCAGGTAGCCTGATAAAACTACTAGAAAAATAGATGGGGAAAAAGTGGAAATAGTGACAGATTTTATTTTCTTGGGCTCCAAGATCACTATACACGGTGACCGCAGCCATGAAATTGAAAGACAGTTACTCCCTGGAAGAAAAGCTATGGCAAACCTAGACAGTGTATTAAAAAGCAGAGCGCTAATACCTTTGTATTAGCTGCAAAGGTCTGTCTAGACAAAGTTATGTTTTTTCTAGTAATCATGTATGGATGTGAGAGTTGGACCATACAGAAAGCTGAGTGCTGAAGAATTGATGCTTTTGAACTGTGGTGTTGGAGAAGACTCTTGAGAGTCCCTTGGACTGCAAGGAGATCAAACCAGTCCATCCTAAAGGAAATCAGTCCTGAATATTCATTGGAAGGACTGATGCTGAACTGAAGCTTCAATAATTTGGCCACCTGATATGAACAGCCAGCTCACTGGAAAAGACCTTGACGCTGGGAAAGATTGAGGGCAGGAGGAGAACGGGGTGACAGAGGATGAGATGGTTGGATGGCATCACCAACTCAATGGACATGGGTTTGAGGAAACTCCGGAAGATGGTGAAGGACAGGGAAGCCTGGTGTGCTGCAGTCCATGAGATCACAAAGGGTCAGCCATAACTTAGCGACTGAACAATAACAACCTAAAGACCTGTTTCACCAGTTTCCCTGGTGCATGAAGGGCCTCATTCTGCACCCTGAATTCCCTTCAGGGCAGATTGAAGGTCAACAGCTGCAGCAGCAAAGATTCAATCTCTGCAGAGGCAGATGATCAATGCCCTCGGCAAAGGCCAGTTTGTAGCTGACAGGCTCATGGTCCCCACTCCCACCCCCACTGACAATAATAAGTAACCATAGCAGCACTGGTGTCTGGGAACCCCGCTTGTAGGTAATGCCTAGAGTGGGAGCTGCATCCCTTTCCTGTGACTCAGACCCCCAAGCCATCCTGGGGGGTAGGTGGCATGAGGACTCTTGTCCTCCCCTTTTTATAGATGAGGAAACAAGTCGAGAGGGGAAATCACTGGCCCAAGGTCACCATTAAGGAAGTAGCAGCTTGGCTCCAGAGATCTGGCTCTTAGCCTTGACTCTTCAGACTTGTGGCTTAATTTCATTGTCAGTAAACACAGTGATGATAATACATGTGATCCAGAAGGTGCTTACAGGGCTTCCCAGGTGGCTCAGTGGTAAATAATCTGCCTGCCAATGCCGGAGACATGGGTTTGATCCCCGGGTCAGGAAGATTCCTGAGGAAGATCTCCAGGAGAGGGAAATGAAAACCCACTACAGTATTCTTGCCTGGAGAATGCCATGGACAGAGGAGCCTAGCAGGCTACAGTCCATGGGGTCGTAAGAGTCAGATACAACTTGGCGACTAAACCACCACCACAGTATTCTTGCCTGGGAAACCCCATGGACAGAGGAGGCTGTCAGGTTACAATCCATGGGATCGTGAAAGAGTTGGACATGACTTAGCTGACTAAACAACAACAAAGAAGGTGCTTACACCGTGCCTGGCACTGTTCTAAACAGTTGTCAAATGTATTTAACTTTTGCAACCTTATGGTTTCCCATTTTACAGATAAGGAAATTGAGAAATGAAGTCACTTGGTCATTATCACCCATCAAAGAAACAGACCCAGGATCTAATCCAGATATGGCCAGTTATAGAGCTGGTACTCTGAGCTGCAGTGTTTTTAAGTTGAAAAGTAACACGTGTAGAAGGATGTACAGTCAAATATCATAAAAATGAAACACTTTTTCTCAATTTGTGTATTCTATAAATTTTCCATGTGTACTTTTTTTTTAAATGAATGTCAGCATCTTTTACATGCTGTTCTGTACCTTGGTTTTTTTTTTTTTGCCAGTTAACAACTTAGTCTTTTATTTGCCCAAGGTCAGCTATTACAAGCAGTGAGGCCCCAAAACTTCCAGAAGGGATGGGGGTGGGGGGAGCCATCCTGCCTCCCAGGT